ATTCAACACTTGTGGACATTTCTTACCCAGAAAAATAGTTATAGGGCACAAATTATATAGAAAGTCTAACTTATTAGTGAATCATGAAAATAATGATCAGATTGCAATTATTCAACAAGCAGAATGGAAAATACTGCATGATTTTAAAACAAGCGAATTTGAAAATTTATATGGAGACATATAATTTTGATACGAATTATTTCATTTCACTGGATGACGAAACAGTAATGAGAGATAAACTTGAAATGTGAATTGATTTTTGCTTAGAGGGAAACATTTATCCTTTACAAATTATTAATTGGTGTGATTTATGTCCATTGTATGAAATATTTGATAATCCTCTTCGTAAAGATGTTGAATCTATTCTTGGAATTGATTGCTATGATGTTAAAGAAAAAGTGCTTATGACAGGCATTGTACCTATTGAGAAAGATATCGATTACTATCGTATTAACTTTTTTCCTGATGGTACTAATCATCTGAAATCCAATAATTATCAAATTTTCGGAAATCTCATAAAAACAGACGGAAAGCCAGTTGATAAAGTAATTGTCGATTTCAAATCTACGAATGTATATGGGTTTTCAGCAATAATTGAAACATTTTTACCGTCGAGTAAGTATTTATTCATCATGTTGCAATATATTGATTGCTATATCAATTATAATTTACAGCATCAAAATATTTCCAGCAACAAATTTTTTGTAAATTCACAAATTGTTTGGATATTGGTCGGAATACCCAAAGAAGTAGGATTTTAGCACGAGTTCGAGAAATATTAATATATTAAGTTCTGGAAGCAGCTTATTCACACAAAACTTGAAAGACGAATGGAACATTGAAATAAACGTTCCAGAAAATTTGCACTCAAACTCAGTCTTTGTTACTTCATTTAAAAAATCATCGTCAAGTTTCATAGCTAATATTCAAGACCTCCAAAAATAACAAAATGAAACTTAAAATACGTGACCTCAGTTGTAATAATCTTTTTGAAAAAAATATCTTTTGATGATGTACTTTCTAGAAATGATGTTAACAAAACTGAAATTGCTATCCAGTGGTACATTCTTCAATTCCCTAAAAATCCAAAATTTGATAATACTTATGACAACCTTGATTCTGCTAAGACAACAATCTGTTTGAAAGCATTAGGAGAAAGCATACACTATTCCGATATTATTTTAACAACTCCCAATAATGCTGAAATTGCAACTTCATACGTTCCTTTTATTAATATGATGAAAACTCTTGTTGGAGAAATTAAAAAATTTACAAAGATGCAGAATGTAATAAAGAGATTTGTTTAATTATGGCGAATAGAGCAGCAATAGCAGAGTGTGCTATGACCCAAACATTATCTTTTAATCAGAATAAGAACTATTTTCAAAATTATTATTTATCTTTTAAAGACTTTAAAATTATTTTAAAAAATATTAAAGAGTTTACTATAAGGATATCAAAGCTAAAAGGTTATAGAGGATTTCTTAATAAAGCAGAAATTAAAAAAAAATTAATAAATTAACTGAAGAATACAATGCAAGTATGAAAGACCTCAATTTTACTATGACAATTACAAGTGAAGGTCGAAGAATGTTAGAAGCTGAAAGAGTCGATAGTTCTTTAAAGAATGTTAAAGATATATGCATGATTATTCAGAAAATTTAGAATATTTGTTCTTATTATCATGGCAATGTACAAGCACCAAGAATTAATCCTAGTCACTTCAGTGATCCTATTGATCAAAAGAAACTAAATTTTTGTGGTTCAACGGATTATTCTGTTATTAGAAAATTCTATAGAAATAATATAGTTGTTGCATGTAAACCTATCAGAAATGAACATTAATTTAAAATTGAATTAGAAATCCTTGGAAAATTAAGTCATTCGCAATACATTCTCAAGTTCTTTCAAATGTTGTGTTATGGTCTTTAATTTGGCCGAATATGGAAATTTAAAAGAGCTTTATAATAATTTTGACATTCCTTGGACTAGGAAATACAAATTGTCAGATATTTGTCGTGGCCTTTAATTTTTATATTGTGTAAATGTTTTTCATCATGATATAAGATGCGAAAATAGATCAAATTACAGGTGTTACACAGCTTAGACCCAATGATCGGAAATTTTAAATGTGGTCGAAAGTTAGATGGTACCTTGTACATTTAGTTCCTGATTTTATTCGCTGGATGGCACCTGAACATATAAAAAATATAAGGATCAAAGATATTATGAAAAACACACACACACACACTTAAATGTTAGATATTTATTATTTAATATCAATGGTTTATAAGTTTGCAATTTGCAATTCACTTAATTTATTATTCTTTTATTACCAGCTTTGGAATGCTTATTAGGAACTTTGTTATAAATATTGCCTTATGAAAATTGGGATATTTCAAAAATATCAGATTATGTTTTAAATCGTAAAGGAGAATTGTTTTTAATTGGAGAATTCGAAAATCCCAATGGCAAAAAATTTCAAGAATTTATTAAAATTATTGAAAGCAGCAAGTTTAAATTAAATTTATTTGAAAGCAAAAATAATGTTTTAATTAATTTTTAATACTTAATTAATAAGCATGTGCCGTACGAGCGAATAGAAATTATGAGTTTGCAAAGCGTGCTTGAGTAATTGGCCGTAATTATCCAATTTCTTATGACACTCCTGCGCTTCTAAAGAGGCAAACATTAAAATTTGCCGAAAATCAACCAACCCCTCAGTACCTTCTGATGAACTATCATTTATTCCTCCTGAAAGAGGAATCGATTTTCATAAAAAGAGAGATCACATAAATGCGTGGAAATGCTTTAAAGAAAATGCAGAGCCTGGTGATAACACTGCAAAATATTGGCAAGGTTACTATTTGTGCTATGGGTTTGGTGTTGTCGATAAAGATGAAAGGCGTGCTATAGAACTTTTTAAAGATGCTGCTGATAAAGATCACAATTTCATACGTTGTATTATTGCTTAAGAATCTAAAAAACGAGCAAAATGTCATTAGAAAAAATGAACTTTGTTGAGAAATTTTACATTATTTCAAATTAACAGCTGATAATAATAATTATGATGCAATATATCATTTGGGGATATTTATTTAAATAGAAAATTTAATATGGAGCAAAATAAGAAACTTGGATTGAAATACTTAAAATTAGCAGCTAAAAATAATCATAAAAATGCAATAAAGCTATTAAAAGGTGAAAATTTAGATTAGTTAGAGTTTCGTTCGTTTTTATAAAATTATAACAAATATTTTTTGAAATTACAGATCTGGACGCTGAGGTAAAGTTTCGCTAGTAGCTATGATTTTTATGTACATTATCTAGAACATGATCACCTGGAGGTTTCGTCGGCTTGATTTAGGTTTGTTGTTAATGGATCGGTTGAGTCGGGTTTGATTGATCCAAAATTCAACTCATTCCATTAAAATAATCCTCGCTCCAATTGTTTTCACTTCATTAACAACAAACCTTGAATTAAATAATGAATGCTCCTTTTCTTATCAGTAAATTAATTCAAGTATAATATACATGATAGGTTAATGCACGACAGTAAAGAATAGATAACTTGCTTAATGAATGTGTCTGTTTTGTTAGCATAGCAAATCAAAGCGAACAGAAATGAATTTGATATATCAAGAAAAAAAAAATTGATAAACATTCGCAAACTTAACAGTTTTTCTTTAAATACTTGAATAATGAAATTACCTTTACTGTGTATTAAATTGATCAAATAAAATGAACTGATAGAGGAAATTCTAATAAGTACTAGAAATCAATTTAAGAAATTGGATTTTTTTAGAATTCAATTCTTTAGATTGATTTTAAATTCTTGACCAAATAAACTTATTATCAAGCAGTGCCTGCCTAGTAATTTATTAATATTATAGTTGCTTGTCTTTATTAAATTTTGATTTAAATTTTTATTTAATATTCTGTTTTTGGTTTAGTTAATGGTGTCATATAACTATTTAGTTTAATAACATTAAAGTTATTTATTTATTCTAAATAATATAATAGCTGATTTAAACAATATCCAATTTATTATTTACTGAATTATTTTATACTAAATAATATCTGATTTATTAATTACTGAATTATTTTATATATAATATTATATAAATAATAGTTGATTTATTAATTGCCAAATTTTTTAATTTCAACTAGTGATATTTACTATTTTATTTTATTTTATTCATCTTAATTTGGCACAGATACAAGAAATATTGATTATTTAAAACAAGAAATCTATTTATTTTTACTTTATGAGCATAAAAGAACACTTAATAAAACATTTTAAATGACTATCCAAATTTTTTTTTACTATTAAATTTCTTTTAGATTGCAAGTGTAAGAAAATATTTGTTAAGTTAAATATTAAAATAACTATTTAAGTTTATGTATTTTATTGTATTAAGTTTATATATATGTTATATAATTATAAAGAATTTATTAAATAAACTGATATATGGAACAATCTCAAGTTCATTTTATAGAAATATATTTTACCAACTGTTTATTTCACAAAAAAACGTTTTTATAAATCACAATGACTTTAAATCTAATTCTAAACCTAACCCTAATAGCAATGACTAGAATTACTTTGTGAAATAAGCTGCCAGTGAAATGAACTGTTTATAAGATGAACTTGTCTAAAAATTAATTGTCTGTAAAAGAACTTTGTTGTAAATTAACTGTCCGTAAACCAAGTTGTCTATAAATCAATTGTCTGTGAACTAAGTGGTCTGTGAAGAATTATCAGTGAGTTGATCAAAACTAAATTTATTTACAGGTCCTTATTTATACTTCTATACTATTCCTTCTCAATTATTGTCCAGATTTCGGATTCGGGCTGATCCGGAATTTTTATAGTTCTTTTTGATTATATATCTTTTTTTAATTTTTTTTAATGATATACGAAAATTTTAAACTATTTTAAACTATTTTAAACTATTAGAGTTACTAACAAAGAGTAAAAGTTGCTGGCTAAAAAACAAAGAAACAAAAGAGGTTTTGTGATCTTTAGTAATCTAGACTTTATGAAATACGTAATTTTACTTTGAAGAAATAGTATAGAAGTATAATAGAACCTGGGAATAAATTATTATTATCCACGAAATAGACATAACCAAATATCAATCCCAAATCAGATGATCGGATAATGACTGAATAGCACACAAGCTGCTTTGCAACCAGTGGCATTCCGTCATTATCCGATCATCTGATTTGGGATTGATATTTGGTTGTGGATAATAACATATACATATTGTTGCGGCTGAAACTGGAAACGGCTGATGATTGAAATTTTAATTATTTTATATGAAATTTTCAAATTTTTTTGGGCCTATAGTTAGAGGTTTTTTTTAAAGGTTAGGTTAGGGTTTAGGAGTAGCTCTAATAATAAAAGTGCATAAGTGGATTTTGTTAGGGTTTATATTTTTAAATTAAGGTTACTAATTTCAATCATCAGCCGCTTCCAGCATCAGCCGCGACATTTATCAATCCACAAACTATTACATATACCGAATATAAATAATATAAATTGGACTACTATTTATTTATTAATATCCAATATGTTTTTATTTTATTATAAATTTAAAAAGTCATTAAAGCTTAAAGTTTATAAGTAATTAAAAATTTGGCGTTTAATATATAAAAAAAAATTGATTCTATAAATTTTTAACCAATAACGCAAAATTAACCAATCAGATTTGAGTATAAATCTCAAATTTTGACGGTTTAATAAAAAAGTGGATATTTCTAACTGTCCGGTACAGTATAAACAACCTCCCTTAGTAAGATCCCTTACCCTTGTTTCATAGTAAAAAAATTTATTCACCTGATCCGCGTGACATCTTAACCGATTGAGACGTATACGCAAGTACGTACGTACTTACGTACAGTGAAGGAAATCTAAAAGCTTCAATCAAAATAAAGGTTAATTAATTCATTGAAGATAAACTAAATTTGTCATTCTCATTAGCATGCTATTGCGTACACATTGTTCTTAGATTATTGTTTTTATGCAGAGATTGAGAGTTCTAGACCCTTCGCTTATTGAGATTTATAATTTAGGAAATTTATATTGATGTGCTACTAGTTTATGCATTATCTTTACATAAAAAATATTGAGGTTTTCAAATTTCCTGTACCGTACGTATGTACGTACATTACATAATTGCAGATTCCTGAGAAAAACAGAAACTGTAAATTTATCACCTCTTACTTCATAAGTTACTCGACACCATCATCACAGAGAAGTGTTGTTTGACACCTGCATTTTTTTTATCCTCTTCTTGGCTTATAAGAAACCTTAGATCAACGAAGTTTTTTTCTCACTTGGTGAGCTTTTTTTTTCTCGCTGTGCAAAACCACCCTCTCATTTTTTTTAAAGTAAAAAAAAAGAATTATTTAAATTTTCGTATTAAAAAATCAAATATTAAATTTTTAAATATAGAAAAATGGAGGATAAACTTGATGTAAATAAAATTGAAGAAATAGCATATTCGGCATTGTCTGAATATCGAACCAATGCTCGTTATCGTGATTCTTTAATTGAAATGAAAAAAATATATCGAATCTTTGGTTAACAATAAGTTTGAAAAGGTTGAGTTGACGAATGAAAAAAAAATATATTTATGTTTGCCACAGCGTAAAGATTATCATACTGAAAATTTAGGACGAAAGATTATTATTGATACAACTGCAAAAACAGCTCATGAAACTATATTATTGTTAAAAAAAGAATATGATAAAAGAATTAGTGAAAAAGGTGATTACAATGAGGTAATCGGTGAGGTTAATGGAATTAGAATCAGTGAGACGAAAGAAAATTATGATAACAGAGTCCGTGAGATGAAAGAATATTATGATAAAAGAATCAGTGCAATGAAAGAAGATCATGATACCAGAATCGGTGAGATGAAAGAAAAAATCAACGAGACAAAAGAAGATTGTGATAGAAGAATCGGCGAGATGAAAGAAAAAGTCAGTGAGGCAAAAGAAGATCGTGATAGCAGAATCAGTGAGACAAAAAAAGAGTTTGTAAGTTTTTATTTTATTTTAGTTTACATTTAATATATTATATTTAATTATTTTTAAACAATTTAGAACAATATGATTGAACAAATTTTGATTAATTATGGAATTAGATTTGATAAAAATGAAGCATTAAATCAAAAAATTAATCGAATTGATCAAGTATTATACTGGTTCTTGATATTTAAAAAATTTTTATTATTTTTTTTTATTCTAGTTAATTGTCTTTTTATATATTTTATACCACAATTTATACCACAAGTTATTTCTATGTTTTCGTTGCCAGATAAACCAATTGAGCTTAATTCAGGCCAAAATTCTAAATAACAACCCTGGCGATTTATCAATAAAATCTTTGTCTTTTTTCTTTGGAATAAATATTTTCAGACTTTTCTATTTTTATTCAAAATGATCTGTATAACTCTTTTTAATTTGTAAAGCTTGACTGGGTATAAGACTAGAAAAACGGCGACATTTGTGGGTTGGAACCTTAATTATTAGGTCTTACACTTTAGAATTAAATTCAAAATTGTATTTAAGTTTTATAAATTACTATAAGATTATTATAATAAATTTATAAAGAAAGCAATCTTTGTTGTAAATGTGCATTTTGCCCTAATTTCTGTAATCTGTCTCATTTCCAAGATTTCCTTCTCAAGTATATTTAATGGGTCGAATTGGTTAGTTCGTATAGATAAAGTTGGACCCGTATAATTATTCATTAACCAGTTATGATCTAATGTGACCGAAGGAAAAGATTCTTTACAATTATGGCAATAATTAGGCTGTTCTAAGTCAATTCTTCGATTAACATCACCTTTAGAACTCTTGGGGGAGGGGATAAAATGAAACGAACATATAAAAAATGGACCACATTCATTGGTCGACGTAAATCAAGCATTCAATCATTATCAAAAATCTGCTAAATGAGAGAACCTAACGCAATAAATAGCCTTGGATATTGCTATTTTTATGGTGTTGAAAAAGGCATTCGTTAATTATCAAAGATCTACTGGGATAGGTAATGCTTCTGCAATGTGTAATCTCGTATATTGTAAATGGAATAGGAGTTGAAAAGGATAAACATAAGGCATTCATTCATTATCAAAAATCTGCCGAATTGGATGATGCTAATGCAACAAGTCAAGTTGGACATTGCTTTTTAGATGGAATTGGGGTTTGAAAGATAATTATAAAGCACTTCTTCATTACCAAAAATTTGCCGAGATAGGACATACTATCGGAATGTCTCAACTTGGTTATTGCTATATAAATGGGATTGGAATCTCGAGAGATTTACAAAAAGCTGATTATTGGTATCAAATGTAATTTTTTAACGCATTTTCTAATAATAATTAGGGTAAAAAAATATGATTTCGGGTAATTTAAAGTTATTTATTTACTTTCGATATAATATAAATTTATTTACTAATTTCTTTAGTCATAGGTGAAGGTGAATGGACAAAAGAAAGTTCTAATGTAGATTATGATGTTAAAAAATTATTGCTTGATGAAAAATATCCATTATCATGGATTTCATATAAAGAGTTTATAGATATTAGAAAAATAGGACAAGGTGGATTTGCAACAGTATTTTACGCCAGATAGCCAGACTATAAACAAAATATTTGGAGAGGCGTTGCACTTAAATTAATCCACGGTTCAAAATCTTATAACGAAGAATTTATAAAAGAGGTGATTTTATTTACATGCTCATTGTTTTCTTTAATACAATAATAAGTTTAAATATTAAGTAATTTATTTTAATTTTACATTAAGTTAAAGGCTTATTGTGATATTAGTTCTAAAAATCCTTTTTTTAAATGCTATGGAATATCAAAAGATGATTTGCCTTGTCTTAAAATATGCTCCAATGGGTTCATTACGTCAAAATCCGGGCTCTGTAGCAAAAATGAAATTAAAGGACAAATTAACATTACCGCATTGTATTGCTTCTGATCTTCATTCTCAAGACTCATCCATCAAGATTTGTATAGTGGAATATTCTACAAGATAATTTACATAGAGCTTATATTGCTGATTTGGTACTTGCTATATCAGCAAATATAGCATTAAATACAGAAAGACGTGTGATTTATGGAGTTTTACCGTATATTGCACCAGAAGCTTAGATAGAGGTTATTATTCAACAAAATCAGATATCTATTCATTTGACATAATTATGTGGGAAATGTTATATGGAAAACCTGTATGTTATAATCGAGAATTTGGACAACAGCTTCAATTGAAATATGCAGCAATGTTTTACCGCCAATGCTTATATAAATTTGATGAAAAAATGTTGAGAAAGGAAAGCAGTGAACCGTTCATCGGCAATAAAAATCTGTGAAATCCTTACAGAATGGATGAATGGCGAAAATATTTTATTAGAACTAACTAAATCGATGAAGTATTAAAAAATATTAAGTTCTGGAAGCAGCTTATTCACACAAAACTTGAAAGACGAATGGAACATTGAAATAAACGTTCCAGAAAA